TTGAGAGCCATTAATGAGTAAAACCTATGGCAAACTAATAACTTTGAATCTTAGAATAGTAAAGTCAGCAGATCTTGAGCCTTTCATTCATGCTGTCCATGTTATGCACTGAAATGTAAAATGTTAAATGTTTATTTTTGCATTATTATTTACTCTTGGCAATATGTACAAAATTTTAGAATTTTAAGTTTGAGTGGGACTTGATATCACATACCTCATCAATGGCAAAGTGGGGGCTGAAACCCAGATTCCTGGTACCTAGTCTATTTCTCTTCTCACCAGTGTATGTTGTGCTTCCTAATTTAGCAGCCAAGAGAAATTTAATTGTAATTTCAGATGTGGTCTCCTTAACATATTATTTGAGGATTCTTTATTTAGCTGTGGATGCAAGTAAATTTTTTCTTTATTTAGTTGTGTAAGTTTCCTTTGCCTCTGTATCTGTCAAAGGCTTTTGGCTTACTTTAACTTTGATTAGATATGAGTGATCATTTATGATTTTAAAAAATCATACATGACTTTGGTTAAAAATATGTCATTCTTGTAGACTTTCTACCCAAATGCAGAGAAAGCATCTAACTCAGGTTTTTAGCCATTGGTTATTTGGCAGTGCCAATGAGAATATGTTTCCACTCCAAAACACAAATGGCATTAGTTGTAGCTTCCTAGATTATCACACCTGCCTTGCCTAATCTCAGGGGTGTCTTGAAAACCATAAAGTACAGTAACAATATGCTTTGCTCTTATTTATGCATAAATCTTTTAATTGTATACTTGAGATTTTTTGTCATAAGACATTTTGCTGTGTGAGCTTATAGATTGAGATCAGCCAAAAATGTGACTGGATCAAGGAAAACACTCAAATCCAGCAATGCCTTGCTGATAGTGAAATCATGGAGTGGATGGACGGTGGGAAATAAGTCTAGTGTTAGTAGTGCCTTAGAATGTGAATGGAAATAACAGGGGGACATGAAAATTTTATCTGTGTTGGGCCGGCCCGGTGGCGCACTGGATAGTGCGCCGCTTGGGAAGCGCGGCGGCACTCCCGCCCGAGGGTTCGGATCCCACATACAGACCGGTTCCCGCTCACTGGCTGAACGAGGCGCGGGAGCAACACCGAGGCTTGCAATCCCGTTGCCGGTCCCCGGTCCGGTACGGGGGCAACACTGAGGGTTGCGATCCGTTGCCGGACACGGAAAAAAAAGACAAAAAAAAAAAAAAAATTTTATCTGTGTTAATATCCAGTCTCTTCATCCTTTCATCAGTATTTATTGAGCAGTTGGTATGGACTAGACACTTTCTTAGACATCAGAGATGTTTACAGTAAGTAAGACAAAATGCTGTTGTCCTCCAGGAGCTTACAGGGGAATGTAGTTACAGACGAGGTACAACATAGGATAATATATATTTGTATTTTGGAATGTGCCACATGACCGAGTTTGCTGAAAAGGTATAATCTTGGTTAAATCTATTTTCTGGTTTAAATTTATCTGTATTCTCTTGGTCAACTTTTTATTTTTTTTATTTTTAAATTTTTTTTCCTTTTTGTCTTTTTTCGTGTCTGGCAATGGATCGCAACCCTCAGTGTCGCGCCCGTACCGGACCGGGACCGGCAACGGGATTGCAACCCTCGGTGTTGTGCCCGCACCTCGCTCAGCCAGTGAGCGGGAACCGGTCTGTATGTGGGATCCGAACCCTCGGCGGGAGCGCCACCGCGCTCCCAAGCGGCGCACTGTAGCAGTGCGCCACCGGGCCGGCCCTCAACTTTTTAAACTTTAAAAATATATATTAAAATATTTTGGGAGGTACAATATATAAAATATATTTTA